CGACGGTGCGCGGCAGCTCGAGCCCGGGGCTCGGCTCCAGGGCGTCCGTGAAGACGGTGGCCTTGGGGCGCCGGATCCTGAGGAACGCGTCCTGGGGACCTCCGCCGGCATGAGCGCAGAGCCACCCCGCCCCCGCCCCCCACCACGTGGCCGGCCCTCCCCCGCCCAGCCAGGAGGAGGTTTTTCTATGAAACCTAAACTAAATATGAAAGGCCCAATAGAGATGAGTGGCTAAGTAGCTGCTATTAAATTAGAGGCAAGATAATTATAAAAAGTCAGAAAAAATTCAAAACCACAAAGGATTCAAAGGAGAGCAAAAGGATCTCTCAGTTCTCACTCTTCTTCCAGGAAACTAAAACTGGTAATTACAAAGAATGAATTACACTTAATGGTCTAAGCATGGAAGATAACAAAGAAATGCAAGAAACAGATGCGAAGTAAGGCATTTGGTGGTACTATGCTACAAAATTAAAGAATAAATGTACATTTATGTAAAGTCAAATATTTTTAAAAGCATTTCAAAAAAATAATTCTCTATTTTACTGACTCTCAATCAACAAACCAACTACTAGGTTAGAAGGTAGGAGGGCTTCTACTATATCTCATGCCAGGTACAACGTGAGTAGCACAAAAAGAAATAGGCTTCCCAACTTCTTGGAGTTGACTGTTTTCTGGAGAGAAGGTATTTCTGATAAGGTTTTTTTAAAGAAAATAAATATTGTTCTGTAATGTAATAGTGTTTTTACATTAAGTTACTATATGCAGCTATGGTTCAAAAGTTATTATTTACAGTTATTATTTTTGTAGCTTACTACTTACAGTGTCATTTCAAAAGATATTTAAATGATATTTAGTAATATCAAAACTGAAGTCATACAGCCCACCCCTCATTTTATAGATTAAGAGACTGAGTTCCAGACCAATTAATGATTCTAGGAAAATTACCCAGTAAGGGATAACAGCAGTGAAATTATAACCAATACTCACAAAGAGACAACAGAAATTTGGCAAAGGTGATCTTTTGAAAAGTCTTGACCTTTCAGGTGACAAAGATGAATCAACACAATTCAAACCCATACTTCCTTGAAGTGAGTTTGTCTGGTAGAAAACGCAGCATTCCTTGACAGGCCATGAAAGGAAAACCTGTTGCCTCCTAGCCTGACACGCCACTGCCGACAGCTTCGCCTCACTCATTCCCTGCAGTGGGGCCTCCTCAGGAAAAGGGGTCCACACCAGGGACCCCGCGCGGCACTTCCTCTTGGGATCAGCCCTGGAAGAGCCTAAGAACAGGAAGTGCTCTTCCCCTTATGCCCCTTAACGATAGGCACATTTCTTTCCCAGAACAATCTGGTAATCTCCAGTGTTAAAGCAAAACCAGAAGCAACTCTTCTGCACGACTGAGTCAGAAGGAGAAGAATGGCCCTGGCACAGGCAACAGACCTCCAATAATAAAATAAATGACAGCAACAAAATTGCTTTTTATTTACATAGTAAATGTAAATGCTGTACATGCATTCATTCGTTCAATTTCCTTAGCCAAGCTCCTCTCTCTGGAAAGTTATGAGAGGAAGAAAAAATGGTATTAGAGAAAAAAACAAGACAAACAAAACAAAAACCTCTATTTTCGCAACATGAAGTAATAAGTTGCAAGGACTTAAAAATAGAAGGAAGAATAATATGTATTTTTTACCTTCTCCTTGGTCTGAATGTTATAAAATGACTTTATTATTCGCTATTTATAGTAAATCCCCAGATCATATACACTAATACACATCTTCCCAAAACCCAGCCATGCAGAATCACACTATTACATCATCTATGCCACTGCCAGCTTCCATTATGCAGACCTGACCTTTTAAGATACTCTTTTAAGATATTTTCCTAAAAATGATCATTTTTTTTCCCTGATTTTGCAGTCCTTAGTTGCATTACATAATTACAAGTAGGATGTTTACTAAAGACATAATTGGTAGAGTTCATTTCAAAACCTGACACCATGTTCGAGTTATCAAAAATCCTTTAATCAGCTCGGAATCCATTTTTCCCACTTTCCTATTATACTAGTGAGAAATACATTCGTGAGACATGACTGCACTGCCGCCAACTCAGCGAAGGCAGATGTTTAAAGCTGGCTTCAAAGGCCCTCGATACGACTGGAAAGACACGAAGCAAACACGGGAAACCACGAAGTGAGCCCCGCAGCCATACAGCACCTCATCCGTTCCCAGCACACGGAAATACAAGCTTCATCTAGTGTCTTAGGGATTCAGAAATCTTTTTAGTACCCTTTACTAGGAGGAGCATATTCCTGTTCAGTAATTATTTTGAGAAAAAATAGTAACTCATAAAAAGATGCAAGTTAAAAAACTTTTCCATGGAAAAAAACAAATGAGAAAAACTAAAAGCCGAATTAAAAGATTTATTTTATTTTGCACTTGTCAACAATGACATCTTAAAAATGTGATGTTTTCAGAAATTAGAAGAAAAGAAAACTAATGAAACGTATTTTTTTTTTTTTTTTGAGTTGGAGTCTCACTCTGTCGCCCAGACTGGAGTGCAGTGGCCGCTCCTGGCCACTGCAGCCTTGACCTGCTGGGCTCCGGCAATCCTTCCGCCGCAGCCTTCCAAGTAGATGGAACTACAGGCACGCGCTACAACGCCCGGCTAATTTTTTGATTTATTGTAGAGATGAGGTCTCGCCTGCCCAGGCGGGTCTCGAACCCGGGGGCTCAGGCAATTCACTCACCTCAGCCTCCCAAAGGCGGGGGATTACAGGCTGAGCCACCGAGCCTGGCGAAAATGTTTTTTTTAAAAAGGAAGAAGGGCTCGGTATTGTGGCTCATGCCTATAATCCCAGTACTTTTATAGGCTGAGGCAGGAGAATCTCTTGAGGCCAGGAGTTTGAGACTGGATGACATAAAAGACCCTTCCCTACAAAAAGAAAAAAAAATTAGTTGGGGGTGCTGACACATGCCATTTGTCCGGGCTATTAGGAGGCTCAGAAGTTCGAGGCAGCAGTGAGCTACGACTGCCACTGCACTCCAACCTGGGGACAGACCCTGTCTCTTAAAAACAAGAACAAAAACAAAACACAAAGCAACAACAAAGACAGAGGGGAAATGATAAAATAGGCAAAGGCAAGACATAATAATTCCATGGAAGTGCTACATAATTTTAAAGAAAACATACTAAGTTAAATATAGCTAGACTAAAATAAAATATAGTAAAAATAAAAAGGAAACTACTATTAACATAGAGGAATGCAAACACAAGAATACCAAACTTCAAGAGTCCATGATTTGAATGAATTTAGAACCCCCCCAAATTTATTTTAGTCTAGTTTGTTTACTTACAAGTTAACAACAAAGCTGTATCAGTCCAGCTGCATGACCTTTATGAGTTAAAGTTAAAAAACTTGAGGTAGAATACACCTTAGTCATTTTTTAGTAGCAAATACAAGAGAAGATTTCTATGACCTTAGGCTGAGAAAGGACTTCTTGGAGGAGCTAACAAAGAAGAACCATAGGAGACAACTTAGAGAGTCAAACACCTTAGCGTCTGGGAAAAAAAGAAAATTCTGTTCATCAAATACTCAGCAATCTGGGATACAGTATGAACCACCTATCATCTAGTGTACGCGGGGCCCACTGGCATTCCTGATGCAACTCTTGCCTCCGTCACAGGGGATCAAAGTCTAGAGAGGCACTGAAGGGAGACACAGGTGGTAGAAGCGAGTTGATGGCTGGCAGGCAGAACTGGAGAGACACCTGTGTGTCTTGTGGTCAGTACCCCGTGCCACCTTCCCAGTGCCGGTCTCTGGCTTTATGGAGAGGACACTGGAGTGGCAGCAACTGAAGTGGCAGCAGCAGCATCAGTTCCCGATTTGAGGTCGCAGCCTCCGAGGCGTGACCCAAACACCAGTGATTTAGTAGCATTTAACTGTAAGTGAATTAAATCCTTGCTTGTTTGAAATCTCTAGAATGGTTACTGTTTACTGCATTAAGACTGGCACACCAACAGGTATTCAGAATACTGATTATATAAAGCACTTTGACAATTTAATAAGGGAAAGGTAATTAGAGATGGGGAAAATAAATGAACAAGCATTTCATGAGAAAAGAAAACCGCATGGGTAAAGAAACACATAAAATATAGTCAACCATATTAGTATTCAGCAAGATGCAAATTAAAACCACAATGAAAAACTATTTAACAATCAAAATGACAAAAATTAAGAAGCCTGGTAAGACCTACTGCTAGTAAAGGACATGGGTCCATGTTAACTCATAAATGCCTGGTGGGAGGGTACACTGGCGCAGCCCCCCTGGAGAGCAAGTTGACATTACATTGCAAAATTGAAATAGAACCTATGACCCAGCAATCTCATTCTTTGAAATTCTTGCACCTGTGTATGATACTGAATTTAAAAAACTCAAGTTCTAGAGTCCTAGATGATATCATTTTTATACAGTTTTTTTTTTTTTTTAAATGCAAAACTAAACAATATGCTGTTTGGAGAAACATACCTACAAAAAAAGTAAAAGCAAGGAAACACAAACTGAAGACATGTTTGCCTCTGGCAGAGGGAGGGGGAAGGATGGAAGTGGAGGAGAACGGATAGCCACAAAGAATGAACATTTCGGTCCTACGCTGGGTGGCAGGTTTACACGTTCTCATCTAATCAGTGCTTCCTAATACACAGCTGCAGCATGCACAATGCTCCTGACAGTTAATATTCAGGATGCTCTCGTTAAGTGCCCTGTGTTCCACTTAACAGTCCTCTGAAATACTAGCTCCGTTTAGAGCTAAGGAAACTGAAGCAGATGGAGAAGCCACTTGTCCAGGGCCACAGAACTCACAAGCCATGGGGCCAGGAGTCAAGCAGAGAATTGGGCCTCAGGGGCCACGTCTTCAGCACCACCCTGTGGGTATCTAATGTCAAGCAAAATGAAAAGTTATCGAAGACAAATCATAAAGGAACCAGTAGCTATTTGATCTACCTTTCATTTTCCTTGATGACATTTTCAAGTTGTAGTTTCATCTCGCCCATGTGTTTCTGAAAGAATAAAATACAGCAAGGCAATACATCTTACCAACAATTAGCCCTCCATTAAGTCATCCATTCATATGTAAGCAATCGGATTCTATGACACTGGTCGACAAATAAGAAGGATGTATTCTTTACTTCTTACTAGGAATATCAAATATAAACAATCTAATAAAACACAGTACATAATGAGATATTCACTCTGAATAGAAAATAAATAAAATAAGAATATTTTAGGTAACACATTGAGAAATATCAATGAACATAATTCCTATGATTTGTAGATGTCAAAACAGGTGAAAGCCGTTCCTCAGCATGCCACTATGACTAGCACTAGGCGACTGCTACATCTTGAATGTACATTTGAGTTAGTTCTCCTCGATTTGGGTGAAGCCCATGTAAGCATGTGTATACTTCTAGTACTCCAAAAGGTGAAATGCTAATGCTGAAAAAGACGACAGAGGTCTCCTTCAGCAGCCAATTGCCTGTCCAGCCACTGACTCACCACCTCTGTTAACCAGCTACATCCTGCACCGTACATGGTTGTCATGTACAGACATGGGCGCTGACGTGCACCGCCCCTGAAACATAGTGAGCAACAGATGCACACTGCAAAGGTCTGATTAATTCTCTCTGAGAAGGCAAAAGGAGTGTTAGGAGTTAAAGATGAAAGAAAAAGCATTTCAGGCATGAGAAAATATGAGCAAAAACGACATGACCAAACAACAACAACAACAAAATCACAAAAAAACCACAAGCTCTCAATAAGAGCGAACAGGCAAGAAAGAGCGGAGAAACAGGCTACGTGGACTCTCGCATCAAACAAAAGCGCGAGTCACTGTCCATCGCCTGTTAGTCCTGACTGTGCCGAGGATGAAGGGGAGGAACCAGTACTAGGAACTTGGCAAGGGAGGAACAGGCAGAGCTCAAGGCTTTCTCTTCCTTTCACCACAGAAGCTCAAGGCAGCATGGTCTAGAAAAGCAGTAACAGCCAATTCTAACTCGAGTCTATCATACTCCATGATCTATCACAGAAACAAAGAACTGAGTATCACATGTTCTCACTCATAAGCGGACCCTGAAAATAAACCATCATACTATGAGAAAGGGATTGACAGTAGCGGGCTACTGCTGGGGTGGGGAGGGGGCACATGCCATCAAAAAGAGTACCTGATTTCAAACCAGGCAAAGTGGGGGCCAAAGGGAGGCCCAACCTTTACCTGTACGATGACCTCTTGTATACCTAATCCTGAATTGTACCCCACATCTTTAAAATAAAATACAAATATAAAAAAGCAAGTTCGCTTAAAGGGCAAATTTTCCAAGGTCCTTCTATGCCTGCAACATAATTAAGCCAAAATGAATTACTTCACTACCAGATAATTGAATCCTGATCATATAAGGAGTAATGCAGTGAGAAATAAAATTGGAAAGATAGGTGTCAGGGTCTTGAATGCTATGCTAAGAGGTCTGTAGCAATTATCTTAATTTTATAATTTTAAAATAAAAATAAAATCTTTTTTTCCCCCACCTTTAAATATTTTATTTTAAATTGTGGGATACAATTCAGGGCTAGGTATACAGATATTCATTGTGCAGGTACCCCTGTTGATGAGGTGTGCCCCTGCTTCCCCAGGCAGTTTCCCACTACTGCTGATCCCACCTCCCCACCCCACCCCACGCCCTGCAGTTTCCCGCTGCTGTCAGTCCTTTTCTTATGGTATTATGATAGTTGTTCAAGATCGATTTATGAGTGAGAACATGTGATACTCAGCTCTTTGTTTCTGTGAAAGATCACAGTATTATAGACTCTAAGTATCTTAAAAACATTTAATACTCTTAAATAATTATGTAGGATATATATCATTAGCTAAGATTAAAAATGGATCACAACAGTCACATTAAAAATTTTTTAGTGCAACATATTTCAAAATATTTGCATCTGGAAGGAAATGAGGTCTACACAGTAAACTTTTCACATCATCAAATTCTCCCCTACTATTTATATCTTCTGGCAGAAAATCTTTCTTATAGAGAATTGCGGTAGTACTTTTTCTGCTTTGAAGATACATTCCTTTTTGACCCAGCCAATAAGATAAGGCATAAGAACCAGTCCTACTAATCAATAGCATCTATGTGAACAAGTCTTCTTAGACGTATCTGTCCATACCTTTTTTTTATCTAAAAGAAGTAGCAACTATTCTCATCCTCATAGACATTTGGGCTTTCTACTACAGCTTCCTTCTCCCTTGTGATTAATTCACTAGTCACTGTAGGTGTAGGTGGAAGGAATGCCCATGGTCAAGCATCTCGGTCAAACAACTAATTAAAGAAATACACAAATCAGATAGATTCTAAAATATTTAAAAGAGTTTAATTTCAAGATAACTACTATCCTATGTTATACAAATCAAAGCCCATAATATGTCACAATAGCAGTTCAGAGAGTGAGTTCAGTAGAAACTTGAGATTTGCTAGCCCTAAAAATAAAATGTCATTTGTGCAAAAGAAAACTTTCTGTTTTTCTTTCACTGTCAATTGGAAAGATTAAAAGATATTACTGTGATTGACTTAAACTGAAATGACCACAGGCTAAGAAGTACATATTAAACACTTGGAAAGCAATCGCCTCTTGATAAGACAGAAGTTATGTGTTAAAGAAATGCTTTTATTGGAAATTTGGGTCTACAGGACCACTTTATAAGTTTACCCTCATATACATTAGAGGAATGACCGTGGACATGAAAGTCTAAATAATTCCAAAGGCAATCAAAGAAACCTTATTTTTAGAAGTTTAAGCATTTTATGTTCTTTTTAGTAAAGTTACACATTAACCTCTCAACTAATAAATAAGGGATTGTTTTGATAGCTCTAATCATCTTATTCCCATAAGCCCTGGCATTTACTCATTCATCAAATATTCAGGTGCCTACTATGTGCTACACATTAAAGCACAAAGTAGGATTTCTTCCTGTCCATGAATGAAGAGGACATAAAGCAAGAGACAAAGTGCTTAGGGTTTGTCAAGTCCATAAGGGGTTGTTTTGTATAAAGCCACACTTCCACTTGCATTCAATTAAGTCAACCTGCTGTCCTCGCCACAACTGAACTGATCCAGGAATTGGTGTGGGCCAAATACAATCATAGCTATATTCAAGCACTAACAGAGAGAGGCCATGGCCCTGGTGGGCTCAGCTTAACACATGTAAGCTCTATTTAAGACATTAAGAAATGTTTCTATCTATGATTATCCCAGCATCAGAAATTTGAGGGGAAATGTTAAAGACATCTGCAGATCAAAGAAATACATTATCAATATTAGATGAGCTCACTGAGCCTCCGAGTGTGTATTGAGCAATTATTGCCATTCTTCCAGTTCTCCATGGGCCCGCTACCCATCCCAGTCTTAGAGGCCCCGGGACGGGGACGGCAATCCGTCTGTCTAGACACCTTCCTCAGTTTCTTTACTACCTATGCTCCTAAAACAATTCCCACTACTGTGAGGGTTTCAGGAAAAAGTTGCTACAGCTCAAGCTTACACTAGAAGTGGACCAATGGCCTCTAAGAGACACAAGACAGAAGCAGGAAGCATCTGATAGACACGCTATTTGAAATCGGGGGAAAACCAATTCTGCAAATAATGAGAAATGCGGGTAGAAGGAAGGTAAGGAGGAAGGTCTGAAAAGATGTGAGATGGCTCGGGGTCAGCAAACAATAATGAGATTAAGAGAGTCCTCTAAGCATCCAAGATTAAGATTACACCAACGATAATGAAATTAAGCTAAGCATCTAAGCGATCTCTCATGCCAGAGACCAAGAGCAAGGAAACAACACATTAAAAGATGAAGCTGAAGATAATCTTTAAACAGACACACACACACACACACACACACACACACACACACACACACACACACACACACACACACACGAGCTGCCAAGGACTAACTAGTGACAGCTAAATATTTTCCTCCCCCGTCAGTGTTTTTAAAAGACAGAGCGTCTATTTTACTTTTTCTCTCACGGTAACATATTTCAGGAGCAATACCACGGTGATTTCCTACCTGATAATATGTCCGCTGCTCATTTAGTTCTTTGAGATGTTTCTCATACTCAGTAATAAGAGGTGCTAAGAAGCTAAAGGAAAAATACACAGTTACAGAGTGCGTACGTTCTAGTCCATCTAGTTTAATATATATGTAACAAGTTAAATAAATGGCACATCAAAAACCTTATGTGTAATTCACCAATAGGAGTCAATACTCCATTTTTTCCTAAACCAGAGACTTTAATCTTCGTGCAATTAAAGCTTTAAGTTGAAAAGTTCTTTGCAGTGGGGTGGCTGGCCTGTGCTCTAAGAGGTCTAGCAGCACACCTGACCCTTACCCCTGAGATGCCAGTAGTGGCACCCCCTCCATAGGAATGACAAGCAAACATGTTTCCAGACATCAGAAAGCATTTCCTGGTAAGCAGGGGCAAAATCATTCCCAGCTGAGAACAGCCTTACAGACTCTGTAATACCTGGCTGCTCTTGGCAATTCAATAAATTTGAAAACCTAATTATAACAAACCATAAAATAAACATTCTTAAAACTAAAAGAATTATTTCAATGATAATTACATATAATTTTAAAAATAGTATCTTTTGGAAATACTTTACCTTTGGTTAAAGACTGGGTCTCCTAAGGTGTCATCTCCATCTCCTTTGATGACAGCTTTCTATAACAAAAATGTGCATCTTACAATGTTTCCTCAGATAATTCTAGCCAAAATGGACAGTTATTTAAACACAATTAAATTTTTATAACCTTAAAAATTTTACTAATGTAATTCAAAAAAAGAAAAACAGGAAAAAAATCATTCAACTGATATTGAAATGCACTTGGTACATTTAACACACATACATAATAAAAACTAATGGCAAATTAGAAATTTAAGAGACTTTTCTTAATTTGATAAAAAATACCAGAAATCTAGGTTAATTGTGATTTAAAGGTTGAAAGACAAGATATAACTATTTACATTTATATCATATTTATAGATAATTTGACCATTTACCTAGAAAACTCCATATACTCTACCAATTGGTAGGACTATTAAGAGAACACACTAGAAGTTACTAGATAGCATATCAACATTAAAAACAAATGCAGTAACCCTTCCGGCCCCCCAATAAAGCCTTTGCAGAACTCAAAAGCAAAACAAAACAAAAAAACAAAAACAAATGCCATAGCTTTTTCAAACACCAGCAATCATTAGAAAATGTAATGAGAAAAAATATAGCATTCACTACTATAACAAAACGTCCACAGTATAAAGAAAAAAATATGGGACAAGAACTTACTGAGAAAATTGACTTTACTAAAGGACATAAGAGAAGACCTAAATAAACACAGTGCTATATTTATGCATATGTGGAAGTCAATATTTTAAGTATGTTGATGATCTAAAATTCGCTACAGCTTCATTGCAACTTCAAAAAAGTTCCAACAGAATTACCTGTGAAACTTTATCTTAACTAGATCGTAAAGTTCTTATTAGTGAGTAAAACGCGATAATCTGGTCAAGATAATCTGGAAAAAAAAAGAAAGAAAAAAAAGAAAAACAAAGAGGAAAGAACTTGGTTTACTACATAGGAAAACACCATAATGCTAGAGCAACTAAAGCAGTATGCTACAGACACAGGAACTAACAAGAAGAAGAGTTGAGCAGACCCAGAAACAGATCCAGGCATTCACAGGTATGTGGTATACAAAAGAGGCGGAATTACACCTGAGTGGACAAGGTGCTGCTGCTCAACAGTGTTGACTAACAAAGCACAGCCGGAAGCCAGCACATTCTCCATGGAAACATAAATGATCCAAAGGTGTAAAAAATCATAAACAATTACCATGAGAAAATGCATTATTGTCTAAAATAAAAGTCTAAAGGTTTTAGGTGCACATAGCAAGACGAGCAGGAAGAAGCACGTTCACTCAGTCTTCCCGGAATTGGATATTAATCCTACAAGTCACAACATGTCGAATTTTTATTAAGTTCAAAATATTTTCTAGTTTAATTTAGAAATTTCCTCTGGTCAATAAGCCAAGAAGCATGCTGTTAAATTTCAAAGCAAAAGAGGATTTTCTTTATTTTTTATTTCATTTTGTTTTATTTATTTATTTACTTATTTATTTATTATAGAGATGTGGAGTACAATTCAGGGTTAGGTATATAAACATTAATCATGCAGGTACTCTTGTTTATGAGGTATGCCCCTCCCTCCCCTAACAGTTTCCCTCAACTACCAATCCCACCCCTGTCCCATGACTGTTTTCCACTACTGCCAATCACTTTCTTACAGCATTATAATTGTTCAAGGTCCATTTATGAGTGAGAACATATGGAACTCAGTTCTTTGTCTCTGTGATAAATCACTGAGTATGATCAACACCAAATCCATCCAATTTGCTGCAAAGTCCAATATATTTGTCCTTCTTTAGGGCTGCATAATAGTCCATTGTGTATATGTACCACATTTTTTTTATCCAGTCCAGCTTCGATGCGCAACACGGTTGGTTCCATGTTTTTGCTATTGTGAACAGAGCTGCAACAAACATGCGTGTGCAGGCATCTTTGTCATAGAATGATTTGAGTTCCTCCAGGTATATTCCCAATAGGGGAATTGCTGGGTCATATGGAAGGTCAATTTCTAGTTCTTTCAGAAATCACCACACTGTCTTCCAAAGAGGTTGCACTAGTCTGCATTCCCACCAGCAGTGTAGAAGCATTCCTTGTAAGAAGATTTCCTAGTTAGTTTTTTGTTGCTGCTTTCTAGGTAAACGCCACTGTGGCCTGAAAATTAGCTCTAAATAATTGGAATTCTTTGAAGTTTATTGAGGCTTCCTTTATGATTCAGCTTATAGTCAATTTTGGGAACTGTTTCATGAGTACTGGAAAAGAATGTGTCCTCTATTTTTGTTGAGTACCGTGTTCTACATGTCTTTTAGGGGAATTTCATCAGTTGTGTTATTTACATCTTTTGTGTTTGCTTATTCTCGCTTATTCTCTATTGAGGGAATTCTCCTTTGAAAGTATACATTTGCTTCTTTTTCCTTTCAGTTTTTTGTTACTTTTTTCTTTTGTATATTTTTAAGCTAGAAAATTGAGTGTATATGTATTTAGAATTAGTATAACTTACTGGTGATTTAGCCCCTTCCTCATATCTACAGTAATACTTCCTTTGCTAAATCTACCTCATCTGGTTTTACTAGACCTGTGTCTGATTTCTTTTAGTTAATATTTTCATGGTATAACTTCTTCTATCCTTTTCATTTTCAACCTTTTCACATAGTTCACATAGCTGAATTTATGTGTAGGCACGTGTACTTAAAATACTTAGCAAATTTAATTTGTTCACATTTAATATAATTAATATTCATAATAAAACTGAGTTAGAACAGCAGTTGGCAAAGCTTTTCTGTAAAGGGCCTGGCAGTAAATATTTCAGGCTTTGTGAATAACATGGCTTTTCCCCCCAGTTATTCAACCCTGTTATTGTCGCACAGATGTAGCCACAGACAACATGTAAACAAGTGAGCACGGGCATGTTTCAATAAATCTCCAGTTACCAAAACAGATGGCAGGTGGGAGTGGGTCAGTGGGATTACAGTCTGCTAAACCCTGAAGTGGAAGGTAGTTTGGGAATCTCTCTCAGTGGGAGTGGGGGCGGGAGGGGGGGGAGGGGGGGGCTGAAAGTACCAATAACCTGTAAGAGTGTACTAAATTTAGGCTTAACTCAGAGAATATCAAAGTAATTCAAGTGTGGACTCTATGTAAACAATTTCATGACCATTTATTTTCTTTTCAGTTGTAGTTATTAAGACTCTGTTGTACTGGTGCAGAAGGAAAAAGTACCAATGGACAAAATTAGAGTACCCAGACACAGACCCATGCAAATATGGAAACTGGATATAGATAAGTCAGCAGGGAAAGCAAGGAATACTCAATAAATGCTGGAACCACTGGCTGTTTACATGGAGAAGAACAGACTCCTTTCCTACAGACAATAATACATTCCAGATTTAATAAAGATGTGTATAAAGCTCATTTATGCTAGTGAGGAACTTAAGACTTAGTAGTCAAATTCTTGGTAGAAAAACATACACATTTGACTGTCTTAAAAGTTTAAAATTTTCTATTACAAGTAAAATAAATGAAAGCTCATAACTGAAAGTTTACTATGTGCTAACAATCAAAGGATATTATTATTAGGCAAATTATCACAGAGGAAATCTAAGACCAATAACAAATAAAGGCAAGCATAATCTCATTAATAATTAGGAAAATGCACATAAAATTAAAATGAGATATCATCTCACATCAATCAAACAAACACAAAATACCTGATATGACTGTCAATGGTTCAAAAGGACGCTTCACAGCGAGCATCTCACACAGCACAAATCAGAATGGAAATTACTGCAGCCGTCTTGGAGAACCTACTAGTAATTCTGTCAAACCTTAAGCAGAGGTAACTCCAATCATAGGTACACATCCTAAAAAACTCTCAGATGTGTAGAAGGAGGTATGTTCTAGAATGTATTTAAATGTCACTGCAAACTTAAAGAACTGGACAAAACCTAAATGTTTCAATGGGAGAATGGACAAAGTTGGGTAGAGTAATATAACAGAATGTAGTAGACAGCAGTTGCAGTGCACAAACTAGTAAATATTAATCAAATATGTAAAATAATGTTAAGCAAAAAAGCAAGTTTTGCAGAAGGATAAATACAGCAACATACCGTCACTGATTAGAGTTTAAAAACTGGACGCATGGTTTTATAAAATAATTTCAGATGTGATCACAGGTAGTACAAGTATTAAAGCATGTGTAGCACTGAAAAACACTAAATTCAGGGTATTGGTACAGAAGGAAGGGCCAGAAGGAAACAGGGGAAAAGATATGCACAGAGAGTCAACTGATCCTGCAACATTAACCTCCTAACAACAACAACAAAATAAAACCTGAAACAAATATGGCCAACCTAGGAACTGACATGCCGTAAGGTGTACACAAGGTATTAACTTCATCTTCTACACTTTGATGTATGTCTGAAATACACATATTTTTTAAAATAAAGAATAATATACACAAAGTGTTTAGCATAATTCCTGAGACATAAAGAGCTCTTTATAGGTCTTAGCTCTTTATTTTTTAATTTCTTTTTTCTTATTATAAAAAACCCAAAATTATTGGCTAACCCAATATATCTATTATAAGCATTTGACCAACATGGCAAGAAGTAACTCTTGGAATGAAAACCTCAAATGACACGTTCACACAGCCCTAAGAGAGCTGCAGTCCAAGGTAGGTACAGTGAGGAGGCAACTTTCCAGAGATTTCCTGGTGAGCAAAAGAACTCATGTAGTCGGCCGCCTGTATAATTCCAGAAAGTGATTTAGCCAAGATGACTTAAAAGGATTACTGTATTTTTAAAGGATGAATTAAGAGAAGCAATATTTAACTTTCACTTGTTCAAAAGTTAGTTAAAAAGCTTCTTGAGACTAGGCACATTGGTCACACCTGCAATCTCAGCACTTTGGAAGGCCAAAGCAGGAGGACTGCTTGAGCCTAGGAGTTCGAGACCAGCCTGGGCAACATAGCAAGACCTAGTCTCTGCAAAAACTAAAAAGTTGGGTATGGTGATGCGCGCCTGTAGCCCCAGCTACTCAGGAGACTAAGGTGGGAGGATTGCCTGAGCCCAGGAGGTTGAGGTGAGCCCTAATTGCTATCACTGTACTCCAACCTGGGTGACAGAGTGAGACTTCCGACTCACAAAATAAAAAAGTTTCTTGGGATAACTAAGCAGCTCAAACTTTAAAAACATTACTTGTCTAATTCCTTATAAATTTTTATAAAATTACAAGACCTTGTCTCTAAAACAAAAAGGCTGGTCATGGTGTCTTATGCCTGTAATCCCAGCACTTTGGGAGGCTGAGGTGGAAGGACTGCTTGAGCCCAGCAGTTTGAGACCAGCCTCGGCAACATAGTGAGACCTTGCCTCTAAAAAATATAATAATAAAAATAAAAATAAAATCTTATAAAATAGAAATCTTATAACTAGCAACAAACATTATGACTGGTAGCTGGAAATGGTAACATTTTACAAAACAGTCCTTCGTGCACTCATCAGCCTCCAGTCCATCCATTATACCAGCTTCCTAACTGTTGCTCTTACTACATTTCTCTCCACTTTAATTTACCTTATAGATCACACTATGCCTGACCCACTCGCTGTCCTATTTCCAGAGTCTAACACGATGCCTCACTACTAACAGATGCACAATAAATAAGTGACAGAAAAACGAATGAATGAATTTTTCAGATTCAGAAAGTCATACCTTTAAAAAATATTGAGTAGTCTTGCAATGCCGATCACATTCAACCCAGCTCCTCAACTTATTCACAGCTTTCTACAACTTCCCAGTGTAACCCATATTCTCTCTCAAACACCAAGCCCATCCTACAAACTGAAAGGAATGCTCGCCCTCTCCTCAGGCCGACAGGCCCGTCTGAAGCACCCCCAGCCCGCAGCCTCAACTGGCCCTCATCGAGGCCTTCTGAAGTCCCACCTACTCTTCAGTGTTCCTCAGCGCTGCGGTCTTGGGAAACTCTTCCTCATCTCCCAACTCAAGTGGCATGGCTGCGGGCCCCTCCACATCTCTGGCTGAAATGTGGCCCCCGGTGCTGGAGGTGGGGCCGGCGGGAAGGTGGGTTCATGAGGGCGGATCCCTCAGACCTGGCGGATGCCCTTCCCGCTGTAATGACAGTTCTCCTGGGCTAGTTCGCGCACGAGCTGGTTTTTAAGAGTGGCGCCTCCTTCACCCTCTGGTGCTCCCACTCTCACAATGTGGCGGCCGGCTCCCCTTGCCTCTCGCCAGGACTTGAAGCTTCCAAGGCCGCACCAGAGGCTGAGAGGATGCCAGCACTAAAAAACTATCTTCTACTAACAGTGACTAAGGGAATGCAAATCTGTGGCTAAATGCCCACGAATCCAAAGTAATTCTAAGAGTTGTAAGATTTGAAGAACAAACACAATGAATCAAAACACAGGTTAAAAACAACTCTGAAGGAATACAAATGTGGATGGAGCAATCCCTTCCCACTTGACCGTGAAAGTTTGAGAACAGACCCCATGACTTCCTAACTTAGGAGGTGGCAGAAAACATCATGTGGGAGAATAAGACTGAAATGGCCTTAAAAGCGTCGACAAGTATCCTTTTTGCTTGTTGCAGAATAAAATTCAAACTATACAAAATAAAGAAAAAATTACAGAATTTTACACACACTGGATCTTATAATTGACACTGTATAATTAATTTCTACTTATGGATTTCCAACGACTTCCTGAGATGGTGGTGATGGAACATCATGGGAAAAATGTCAACACTATTGGACTGTGGTTAGGGAAGCAAATTTGCTGGACATGTTTCTTCTCCTAACAAAATCATACACTAAGTATTCCAATTCCAATTCTGAAGGCTTAATTTGGCTCTGCCGCTAATCAGTATTGGCTAGCAAATATGCAAATGGCATCTGTGCCTCTATCTGGAAGGAAAGAAGCAGAGGCTGCCTAGCATTGGGGAACACATTTGTGTGCATTTTACAGGACCACCACCGTCCTATAAGGAGGAGATCGATCTTCACCATTTATCAGTAAACGCTGACGTACAGCATAAGACACAGAGCAATCGTACAGCCAGAGTCAGAAAATGCTAACTCAGTACTTTCCTAACATCATGGATGATGCAAACTCGGCTCTTTCAGGTTTACCTGGGCAATCCATCAGATTGAGAGTCTAAAACGACAATGACTAATATAATAGCCTCAAACATATGTGACTTTCAACCTAAATTTCATTTGTGCAAAATGAAAATTACATAAAAAATCCATTTTCTCAGTTGCACAAGCACAAAGGAAACTGAGCCAATGTTAAGTGCTCAAACACCACGAGTGGCTACAGCCATCACCCCCAACAAGCCCCACTCTCATCTCTCTGCCACCGTCCCCGGCCCCCACTCTGGCCTCTCTGCCACCATCGCCAACAACAACCTGCACACTACCTTTCTGGCACCACCCTCCCCAGAAACCTCCTCTCTGACATCTCTACGATCGCCACCCCCCAAAGCCGACACTCTGATCTCCAGCGGCGTCACCCCCCATGTTTCCTCCCTGACTTCTTTACCGCCCTCATCCCAAACCACCTATGGCCCGACCTGTCTGCGACCAGCGCCCCCAACAAGCTAGGCTCTGGTTTTTCTCCCGCCATCGCCTCCAACAGCCTCCACTCTGACCTCTCCACCAACATCACGAGCAACCTCCACACTGGCCTTTCTACCACCATCACCCTCACGACCTCCACTCTGACTTCTCTACCACCTTCCCCCCCGACGACCTCCACTCTGACATCTCTACACAATCAACCCCAATCAACTACACGCCGAACCACCTCCTCGCATCACTCCCAACACCTGCACTCTGACCTCTCTACCACCATCACGCTCAACATACACTATCACCCTAACCCAACAAGCTACACACTAATCTCGACAACACCATTGCCCCCAACAGCCTCCACTCTTACCAATCATCACCACCCCCGATGACCTCTACTTTTTGACTTTTCTACCACCGTCACCCCCAACAACCTCCACTCTGGCCTCCCTACCACCACCACCCCCAACAACCAACACTGTGGCTTCTCTACCACCATCACCCCCAAGAACCTAGATGCCGCCCTTTCTATCATCAACCACGAGAACCTACACCCTGACCTGTATACCACCATCACCCCAACAACCTGCACTCTGACCTCTCCACCATCATCCCAAACCATCTCCACTCCGAGCTTTCGACCACCATCACCCCAGCAACCTAGACTCTGCCCTGTCTACCATATCATCACTCCCAACAACATCCACTCTGACTTTTCTACCACGGTCACCCCCAACAATCTCCACTCCGAGCTCTCCACCACCATCATCCCCAACAACCTCCACTCCGACCTATGGGCCACCATCACTCCCAACACCCTACAGCCTGACCTCTGTCACCATCACCTCCAACAACCTGCACTCTGATCTTTTTACCACCATCACCCCAACAATCTGCACTCTAACCCTTTTATCACCACACCCACAACAATCTACACTCTGATCTCTCTACCACCATCACCCCCAGCAACCTACACTCTGACCTTTCTACCAACCTCAACCTCAACCTCTACTCTGACCTCTCTCCCACCATTACCCCCGATATCCTTCATGCTGACCTCTACCGCCATCACCCAACAACCTACACTCTGACCTTTCTCCACCATCACACTCAACAACCTCCACTCGAACCACTCTACCACCATCACCCCCAACGACCTCTACTCTAACCGATCTAACACCAGCATCCCTAAAAGCCTACACTCGGACCTCTCTCCCACCATCAGCCCCAACAGCCTCCATCCTTACCTCTCGACCGCCATCACCCTGAACAACCAACACTCTGACCTTTCTTCTACCACCATCTCCAAAAGCCTCCTCTCTGACCTCTTTACCACCATCACCCCAACCACCTACACAATGACCTTACTACCACCATCACCCCCAACCACCCACACTCGGTCTGACCCATCTACCACCATCACTCCCAACCACCCACACTCTGTCCTTTCTACCACCATTGCCCCATCAACCTCTGCTCTGACTTTTCTACCACTAACCCACCCAACAACCTGCACTAGACCTCTCTATGACCGTCGTCAACAACCAACACTCTTACCTTTCGCCAACATCACCCTTACCAACCCACAATCTGACCTCTCTACCACTACCGCCACCAAATTCCACTCTTGCCTATTACCATCACCCCCATAACCTATATTTTGACTTTTCTTCCACCATCACCCCCAAACCTACACTCCGACCCATCCACCACGATTACTCCCCGCCATCTACACTGTCCTTTTTACTACCACTGCCCCAAATCTCTACTCTGATCTCTCTACCACCAACTCACCCAACAACCTACACCAGACTTCTCTACAATCATCGTCCCCAGCAACCAGCACTCTGACCTGTTTGCCAGCATCACCCCCACCGACCTGCAGTCTGACCTCTCTACGACCACCACCCCACAAACCTCCACTCGGACCTCCCTGCCACCATCACCCTTAGCAACCTCCGCCCTGACCTCTCCGCCACCAGCACCCCAAGCTCCACTCTGACCATTCCACCGCCCTCACCCTCAACAACCTCCACGCTGACCTCTCTACCACCATCACCCCCAAAACCCTCCAGTACGGCTTTTCTGCCATCGCCATGAACAGCCTCTACTCTGACCTCTCTAGCGCAATGCCCCCAACAGCCTCCACACAGTCCTGCTCTAGCTCAGCGCACTGTCTATTTCCTTTGGAGAATATTGTAATTGTAATTACTTCATGAGTCAGTTCATATCTCATCCACCTAAAGAGGATCTTCTGTCTGTACTCATAGCTCTGTGCCCAGCGCTTATGCAGCACAAGCACGGACTCGAAAATCGCTGAATGTCTAAATTAATGGTTGTGTTATAAGTGAATACTTATAAGTTATAAGTGAGTACTTATGGTTATAAGTGAATACTTATAAGTTATAAGTGAGTACTTATGGTTATAAGTGAATACATTTGGACTTATGACTATTATTTCTCCTCCAGAACCAACTTGTAGCTCTTTGGCACTATGCTTTTGTATTATTCCTTCCTTCATTTTTATTCCAACTTATGCATCATCATTTTATTCCCAGCAGACTAGTTATCTCTTAATTTTTTTAAAATTTTAATTTTGGGTAGAAAGGGTAATAAGTAAAAAGAGAATTCCTAACCTAGAAGAGGAAAATATTTTTAGGAGAGCTTTCAGAAAAAATATACTTATTTTTAATATTTCCACCTGTCACCTCAGCAAGTAGTTAGAGAACCAAAACAGTCACCTACCCCTCAGTACACACACGTACTGATGTGGCACAGATTACAAAGTGGATCCAATTAGCCTGGGTGTAAAAAAAAAAAAAAAAAAAGAAGCAAGTATTCAAAAAGATTAGTAGGAAGAAAGAATAAGGGAAAGAGGGAAACTGTCCACTTATCTTCTTGAACGAAATATTTTTCTTTTCTTTGGATGTTTGTACTACAATCTCAGAGCACAATGCCACTTGAAATACCATTTACTTATATAGAAAAGAAAAAATATTCAAAGAAATTGAGCTAAACTAAATTTTATAATAATCTCTGAAGGAATAATTCAGGTAACTAATTATTTAAAATATCTCTAGAATGTTACATACTATCATAAGGAAGGGAACAGAGTCTTAAAAAGATGAATGGAGTATGAAAGTATAATAAGCCAAATATTAAATATATTAAATATGTAAGCTTTTAAACCCATTGGAAGACTCCAACTTCCAGCTTATGTACAAAGAATTTATGTACAGTGTAATTAGCCATCATAAAAGTGACATGTATTTCCCTAAGAACAATACTTTTCAAACTGGTTCTCTTAAGGCAATTCACTAAACTTTACTTTGATCTAAAACAAACCTAAATTATCATTGTGTAGCAACAGCACTAAAGAATTTTAATCATCATATAACTTAGTTAATAAAGAAAATCATGTTTGAAGGTCTAGCTTAAAATACCAGAAAAAAATATCAAACACCTGTAGCTTTGTTTTCCCAATATTAAAAAAACAAAACAAAGCAAAACAAACTTCATAAGTATGTCCATTTAACACAAGGCCTGGCAGTTTTATGACACTTTGTGTAAGGAAGGAGAAGGACATTTCTTTAGGACTTTATTCTGAAAAATAAAACCCAAAACTACTTGTACTTTCCCAAGCTGATGATGGCTTTCACTAAACCTGACAGAGTTCAAGTCATGTTGGAAGATAAGTGGGAAGGACGGATAGAAAAAGAGAAAGGACACAGCTGCTTCAGTCATTCAACAAATATTCATCAAGCACCTTCTGACAGAACGGTTCTGGGCACCTGGGAGACATGGATGAACAAAAGGGTGGACACAAATGCTTGAAGGATTTCTGCTGCAAGAAGCCACAATTAAGTTACAGGGACAAAGAAAAGAGCCAGCGCTCCTGGGTCCCACACACCCCTTCATAATGGCTTCCTCCTTATGTTTAATACAAAACAGAGAGAAAACCAACCAAGACAAATTCTACTGAACATTTCTTCAGAAACCAGCATGGAGACTAGAGTAAAGCACCCCAGGGCTGCACTGCTTATGGCCAGGGATAGGGGCATTGCTGCTGGAAAGCAGATGAGTCTTCCTCTCAGGCACTCGTCAACCCCTCCACCTCCCCCCCACCCCCGCAAACTGTGCCATGGAAAGAAGACCCGTGGGGATGGGAGTCTCACTGTGTTGCCCAGGCTGGTCTCGAACTCCTGGCCTCAAGTGATCCTCCCACCTCAGCCTCTCAAGGTGCTGGGATTATAGGTGTGTACGACCCACCTGGCCAGAGATGGGAGTCTTAAAACAGCAACATGTTTCCAAAATATGGAGAAATCTTAGGCAGTAACAATATGCTACTACTAAAAATAAGAGATTCAAGTCAAGATTTGGTTGCATGACTACAAGAGCAGTAGACACAAGAATGTATACCTTCAGAAGAAGGCATACCTTCAGAGAATTAAAGCAGTTATAATTTCTCTGAAGAGTACATTGTAAGTGCAAGGGAAGATGTTTCCCTACTTGGTCTGCTACCCTCGGGCTCTAGCTAACATCATCACAATGCATAATGCAGTAGCATCTGAAATATGTTGTAATACCATGCCCAGAGGTCTTCTGGGACTTTAAAATCTGTCTTTTTCTGAATTCTTCTTCTATTTGGTAAGACATTAAGCAGAAGCAAAAAGCTTAAGAATCTGAGCAAATCTTAGAGGCTGTTGGATTATGAAAGACTTTCTATAACTAAAATAATTACAGCTCTTAACTATGCATAAAAATAATATAAGAAAAATAACACTGCCAGGTGCAGTGGCTCACACCTCTTATCCCAACCCTTTGAGAGGCCGAGGTGGGAGGATCACTTGAGACCATCCCAAGCAACACAGCAAGACCTTGTCTCCACAAAAAAAAAAAAAAAAAAAAAAAAAAAAAAAAAAAAATTAGCTGGGCATGGTAGAGTGTGCCTGTAGTCCCAGCTACTTGGGAAGCTGAAGCAGGATTGCCTGAGCCCAGGAGGTTGAGGTTGTGGTGAACCACGACCATACACTGTACTCCAGCCAGGGTGGCAGA